GACACTGCCATTGTAAATCGATCTAAACTGACACCATGCTTATACAATTTGTCATTGTAAATCATTTTCCAAAATTTGTAAATCGGTCCTGAAAATAGCAAAAAGAAAATCCAAGAGACCCACCAGCCACCCCCATAATCGCATCGCAAGTCACAAGTTTGCCATTCGCACGCATGTGGTTGCCGGAGATCGAGGATCGAACTAACAACCTCAGGCATCACAAATTTTCACGCACGTGCGGATCAAAATCACAACCTCAGGCCTCACACGTTTCTTTCTGAACCACTACACCTCAAATTCAGTTGTGATTGATTAGCACATGCATTCCTACATATTCAGTAGTAAATATTGTATAAGTACATATTTGAGAACCTTAAAGAATTTAAATGAAAAAGTTTAAACCGAAAAGTTTTAGATCTCTTTGAGTACTACAACTTTAGTTTAGATCATTTCTCATTCAAGGCCATTTAAAAAAAAATTAAAAATATATGAATTTAAAATTTATTAATCTTAAAACATAATTTTTGGGACCTAAATTATTTCAAATAAAAGGTAACCAACTACAAAGTTGTAGATTTTTTTTAGTACTGCAACTTTCATTTAGATCATTTCTCCATCCGATATCATTTATAGAATTTAAAAAAATGATTTCAAATTATTTGTAGTGGCACTAGGTTAAGAAAACCACTAGTGCAAATACATTTCTACTAGCGATAGGCTTAAGATAATCGTCAGTAAAAATCATGTATTTTGCACGGGTGGTTCTCTTAGGATTACTGGCGAGAAAAATACCTAATACAGATTCCATGAAAAACACAATTGGTAAGACAAAAACTAATAAAAACTATGAGACGTTAAAAGTTTGGTCTCCAAATGAATGTAAAGAAAAAGAATGCCTAAATAAGTAGTCTATATAAGTTATAATTTGTAGATGCCTAAATTCAAGCTATAATTTATACAAAATGGTAATGACTTATCAATTGTTTGAAAAGGTACTTAAATAGAAAAATGAATGTTTTACCAAGTAAAGTTATAAGAAATAATCTCTTTCAGTCTCATGGGCTAAAACTACCGCATTGATCACAACGGTCTAAATTTACCAAACAATATAGAAAATAAATAAAGAATCCAAACTAAATTTACTACGAAAATATATTCCATAATTAATTAAATAGTACTTATTTTGTATCATAACTTTGACCAAACTTTAAATCGTTTGACTCCATGAAAAGTGAGAATTGTATTATTTTTGTTGACAAAGTGAGTAGCTTCTAAATAAGAGTAAATTATATTTTTCAACCTCTAAATTACACGCCAGTCCAATCTTCAACTATTAATTGTGAAATCAGGTAACGAACACACTCTAATTGTCAAAACTTGATAAATTGATCCATTGGCTAGTTTCATAGGTGGTTTTCTATGTTTAAAAATAATAAAAAATTGATTTGAACTCTAAAATTTCATAATTAATCTATTTAAAATCAGAAGATTATGAAACTAGTACCTTTTTTCTAAAAATGTTATCAACCTATTGATGATATATATAGTTATTTAGATCCGATTTATTTCTATTCCTATTGTTTTATTGCTTGTAGACATTCTTATTATTTATCTAAAACTAATAAGATCCAAATAACTCTAAGTAGAGCACCAACAGGTATATACTACCTCCGTTCCATTTTATCTGGCGCACACACATACCAAGATTTAAACTTTAAAACTTTGACCAATAATTAGGCTAATAATTTTTAACTATTATAATACAAACTTTATATGATTAGGTTTGTAAGAAATTATACTATCCACTGATTATAAGTTTATAAGCATAAATAATATAATATAAAGCAAATAAATAATCAAAGTGTAATATAGGAGATTGTGTCATTCTAACTTGCGTGGACGGAGGAGTAACATTTTCATAAGGATAATAGAACTTGTTTCATATTTTATAATTTAAGATAAATTGATTTCATGTCAAAAAAAATTAAGATAAATTGATTATGAATTTACAAATACCAAACCATATTTTTTATTATTTTTAGAATAATTAAAAAACGGTCTTTAAAACTAGTCAGAGGACTAAATTTGTCTTGTTTCGATAGTTTGGAAGATGTCTTTGTTGTTCTGGGTTGTTTCCAAAACTGCCATGTCATATAGAATGAAATGAAACTTGGATAAAACATATACTCTCAATATAAAGTTTCATTCCATGGTTTCATAGATATTTAATTCTAAGACTTAGAGAGAGTTAGTAATCGCGCCAAGAGAGTTTCATCCCTATGAAACTCACTTCTTCTCTCTCTCCATTAAAACCCAGGCATGTCATCAAAAATACATATGTGGCGGACTATTAAATGCAAATGAAACACTCATGAATCCTCCACAAAGACTAGCCTAACCACACTGCTAGTTGCAAGAGAAAAGTGCATGGTTTTTGTCCACACTAGTCCACATAAATTCATTTTCTTACTTTTCCTTTTTATTTGCAATGTTGGAAGCTCTCAATGACTCAATACATTGCATAAGAAAACAATTCCTAAATGAACTCATGATTATTTGTCTGCAATAAAAAGTGTTGAATTAAATGTCTCAAGTTTTCAAATGTCAGACTTGAATGCCATCTCCTTTACCAATAAGATGTTTCAAAATGTAGTTGAAATTTTCCAATGGTATGTAAACAATTTGTATATATCTACATAAAACCGTGCAGACTCTAATTAGCATTGTTAAAATTTGTCAACTGAAAGCTTAAAGTCATAAACAAAATATACATGTTGATCATATTTCTCAGAGCTCAGGTTATCATATTTCGTGATTCATAGGAAGCTAAGCAACGAAAGCTACAATTACAACGCAGGGAGGCAAAGAGCTGGTTGGGTTTCTTGCGATGCAACATGTCCACTCATATTTAAGTTCTTGACAAGGTAAGGTAGGTGCTTGTATTTTCTTAGATTTATTTGAGGATTTAAGCGTTGTAGGCTGTTGATCCCTGTAGCGACACTCTCAGTCTTTTGGACGTGTTCATATGACTGGGGTATAAGTGTCAACTGTCCGCTTCTTTAATATGATTAAAAAATCGTGCCATAGACGCAAAGAAAAGAAACGAGTGCATTTGTCGCAGGCACAGTCCGGAAATCAACCACAAGTTACGATCCCTTTTTTACTTTGAATCTTGTTTAAACAAGCGCCTTGATTTTTGGCCTCTTTAGGCATGAGCTAGGATTTGATATTATTCGAGCCCATCAATAAAAAATTGGGTATAAGTTTCTACATTCTTGTGTCTGTTCTTCTCTTTGTTGGTAATTTGTTGATAGTTGCAGTATTATATGTAGTACCATCACATGAGTAAACGGGAACAGACAGGGGAAGCCCCCTCCACCGCTGGTTTAGTTAAGTTAATGTATGATCGCCAATTCAGGGTGGCCTACATGAGTTCTTGATCTCCCACCATTAGATCTGCGAGAGGATCATAATCATGAATAGAAATTGCTCATTGCGCGATCAGGCTTGCTAGCGCCCGGATATGAGGACGGACTGGGCGTCTGGTGCGTGCCCACACCTGCAGTCATTTTCTCGTGCCGTTTCGCGCGCCCACGTGGAGTCCGTGTCGTTTCTAACGTCACCAGCATCGAGAAGAGGGGGAGAAGGCAGCGGCGGATGCCCAGCCGGCGCCGGGAGGAGGAGGAGACACTGAAGCGAGGCAGTAGGAAGGAGATACAACATCAAATCTATTTTTGAAATATTCAGATGCAACACTTGCAACATACGTCTAAAGACAGATAAAACATTTGAAAAATACATCTGAAACACTTGCAAAAGCACATTAAAAACACTTGAAACTATTACAAAAACATTCGCAACATCCACATAAAACACTTACAAACATATGTGTGAAACTTATACAATATCCAAATAAACACACTCGCAACATATGTCTGAAAAGCAGATGAAACATTGAGAACAAAAACTTGTAGCATACGTGTACACCAATTACAACATATGCAACATCTCAATCTAGCTACTTTTGAAGCACTTATATGAAATAGCAACATATCTCCGGAACAATTGACATAGACACTTGCAACATGTGTTTTCAAGTGCAACATCTACTCGTTGCTTAGATGAAAGTGGAGGCTCATCGACGCAGAGCTCGACGCCGGCGTGGAGCTCGATACTACAGAGTGGCGCGGAGGTCGTCGATGTGAAGCTCGTCAGCGGCACAGACCTCGGCAGAGGCCACGGCAGGCGGATGGAGCGTGGCTGAGCGAGGGCATGCGGCGCGAGGGGTCCATCCTGTGAGCAGGGGTGATCTGTACCACGAGCGGGTGATGCGGGCGGGGTCCGTTTGGAACACGTGAGAGTCCGTTGCGCCGATTGAGCACAAAATAAAGGAGTCGCCAAGGGAGAGAGGCACAGCAAAAAGACTCTGAAATACTACAAAGCTGTTTACTTCCTGATAATGCAGAAGTTCAGCTAGGCATCACGTTGATCGGAAGAACTGATGGTTACATTTAAAAGAAATGGAAATGGAGTAGATAGCATCTCCGCTGTACCAGCCAAGATGATCAAAGATTTGGTATCCTCTCCTTTTAATCGGCCATTTTGAAGTCATTGGGAGGTACCAAAGAGTTTCGGGACCCCCCAAGTATAATTCTGTGGTTCCTCTTGGTACCTTCTATGGATGGTAAAAGCACCCCTTTTAATACCTAATTCTAGCACTATACAAAAGGGAGGATGCTCAGAAGTTAGAAACTACACCTGCATATACAACTAAGGAATAATAGAGCATTGAAACTACAGAGAATCAGTAAATAATGACGAGTAAAACCTGTGACTGAAAAAGATAAGGTAAAACAAAACCCAACCAATCACGTGGGCCACAGCCGAGAAGTGCAGTACAGTACCGCGGCTCTGTAATCAGGTAAAATTGTCCAAATCATTACATCTTTAACCAAGTATTTATATAAATTTAACACTAACAACTAAATGTAGCTACAAAGCTATAAATCGTAGAGGACCTTGTATTCAACAGAAGAGCCGAGCTCAGTGAGCTGTGGACAGGAACTGGTGGTGGAAGCAATAGATGGTTGTGTGTATGTCCCTCGCAAAAGGCCCATTGCAATGGCTTTGTATGCAGCTTCCGATGGATGGAAACCATCCCACGAGCCATACTTGTCTGGATTATCACACACCTTGTAATCTCCATATCCACAGGCTGTAGAAAGGGACACACCATAGGGTCCTTCTCCACCGCAGCAAGCCACCAAAGGTTCCTCGATACCTAAACCACAGTGATGGCAATGTACGCTATGTATATTAGGAACACAATTTAAGTTATGTTATGTTTATTGGTAATGCACATATGTATTAAGAAAAGTAATAGAGGATGTTAAAGCTAAAAGATGTTATCTTGTATCACCATGTGTCCTTGTGTTACCTACCGAATCCAAGCTGTTATTAAATAATGGTAATTCTGAAAGCGTATGAAATCTAACTCGATAACACTTAGTACTGGTATTATACAAGCTTCTACTTGGCAGTCAAATTTCATTTCCCCCATGGCTAGATTTTGTATTTCTGTTTAATATGGAGATATTCACATCCAGCTCCACTTTGGATTCTACTATGAAAAGCAGAAGCAAAAACTGACAAATAGCCTACCATCAACTTCCACAGAGTTCCAAAAGGATGGTTTTATTTTTTTCCTAAACATGGAAAATGAGTTAGTTGCTTAAGATGCATCAGGGACATGTGCATAAGTTCAATGCCTAAAAATCGCTTCCTCTAGTATGGCATAAACCAGTACTGGAGTTTTTGAACCCAAGGACCAGCACTAAAGGCAAAATGAATAGGCTAAATCTTAGCCTTCTATGTGGTGGAAAACATTTTGGTTCATGGCTGTCTCCATGCAAATGCAAAATAGCATACGGTGTGTGTGTGTGGTGGGGGGTTCGCATCCCATTCTGGCCTGTACAAAGCAAAGCTGTACCGCATATTTAATACTAGTAACAAGTAAAGGCAAATATCTTAACTCACCAAATCGTTCCGGGGAATGGAAAATTTCCATTGCAGCTCCATAATAGTCAGCATAGATAATAGTCACACCAGGATTAAGCTTGCGCAGCTTCTCCAGCTCCTCCAGGAGAAGCTTGTTGTGGTACTCTGAAAATTCGTTCATCCACCTGAGGCAACCCGTCTCTGGATCATAATCTTCTTTGTCATCACTCTTGAATATCAACAGATATTTTGGGACACACCCAATTGGGAGGTTCCCAGGAACTACCAGAGTCTTGGCTCCTAGCCCAATCAATTCCTGCAAACTCCAATCAGTTACATTACTATTTATATACTACTTACTATGTCAGCACTCAGCAGCAACAACAGGTAACGTGACACAGATGCTCACGGTGATTGTTGAAGAAACTTTAGCAACGACACTTGGTGTGAATGAGCGGATCTTTTCAATCGGTACTCTGGAGAGAAGAGGTAGGTTGTAGTCATTACCCCCAATTTCTCCAACGATGAAGAGGGATTGGCTCATGATGTCTGAGCAACCTGTGCAATAAACAGAGTTCTGAATTAGCATGTAAAATTACAATATAAAAAAGGTTTAAAGAAGTGACAGAATTACAGCATTTCTAGTAGTTAAGCATTGATGGTCCCAGCATGTCACTGTTATATTGATTTCTTATCGCGTTACAAGTAAGATGTACTCAATCCATCCCAAATTGTAAGACGTTTGACTTTTTTGACACCAAGTTTGACCACTCGTCTTATTAAAAAATTTGTGTAAAATATCACTTCTTTCGTCGTGGGTTGGTTTATTAATAAAAAATCTTCAAGAATGACTTAAATTTGACTATATTTGCACAAATTTTTTGAATAAGACGAGTGGTCAAACTTGGAGCAAAAAAAGTCAAACGTCTTACAATTTGGGATGGAGGGAGTATCATAGTAATAGGCTAATAGCTTCCTTAGCGCAGTGGATTGCTTGTGCACAGCAAGCTATGTCCAGTGAAAGTAGACGCATTTGGTTGAATGGCATTCCACTATTTGTCAGTGATTTTGTAATTGATGATTGTGACTGCATTCCAAACAATTAAATAAGAAGCAGTTTCTTTCTGGTTGTGTTGCAGCACAATGCCTCCAGAGACTAAATAGTTTATTTCACAAAATGGCACCTCCGGGAACAGTGTTATGGTGATTTGAGGCGCCAAAAAGAAAAAATTGAAGCAGAACTGCAGAAGAATGTTGGGTCACGTCTTCTGATGATATGGACTGAGGTTTCAGTTCAGGTTTTCGACAATGACTGATATGGACGTCCGGTTAGCATTGGACTGATACCATCCAAAACCTTCAATTTATTGCTGCTACCATCAATGATGAATTATTTTGCCTATATCACCATTCACTCGTCTATTTCTTCCCTTTATATTTGGAAGGATAACTTTCGACAATTCAAACATTCCCTATCAACACCTTTGCATCGCACGCTCACCTTTCTTGTTCCATCGCCAAACACCTGTACACCACACCTCATATATCGAACTTATTTTTTTTTATTCATTTGCTATATGCTACTTTCCCCACCTACCACTAGAATTTCTTCTCTCCCCAATAGCAGTGGAATTGCAAAGGTCAGGTCGAAGGGAGTAGGATGGACTCGGAGGAGGTAAAAGGAACAACCATACCGGAGCTGCCGCTGGGGCAGAGGAGCTCAAGCAGATCGTGAAACCACTTCATCTCCAAGTCTAGGTGCACCCGTCCGTCGCCGATGTCAAAACCCCTGGAGCGGAAGAAGTCCGGGCCGAGCGCCGTGGCGCCGCCCACGGCGAAGTTGGCACCGCACGCGAAGTCCTCCGCGCGCCGACCGCTGAGATACGGCCGCACGAACGGGAGCCCCATCGTGTCCGCTGCAGTCGCACGCCGAATCTCAAACCAGTATTACCGGTACCACTACCGCGCAGGATAATTTGAACGAACGATCGAGTGATGGGCGTATGTATGTAGTTTACCGATGAAGTCGAGGACGAGGCGGCCGTTGGAGAAGCGCCCCGTGGCGCGGCGAAAGAAGGTCTCGCCGTAGGGTGGCCGGAGCGCGGGTTCGCCGGAGTTGTTGCCGTAGTAGAATCTGAAGTTGCCGGTATCGGTGAGCGAGTCGCCGAAGCTGAACACGCGCGGGTAGCACGCCGCCGCCGGCTCCGCCACAACTATTACCATCACCGCCACAACCGCCGCCGCTACCCCGGCCCGTGGGATCGGCTGTCCTCCTCCTCTCCCGGGGGCGGAGGACGCCATGGCCTCTTTGCTCGGGGTGTCACGTCGGCTCGCGCTGCTCGAGGCGGCCGTAGAAGAAACTGCTGAATTCAACGAGTCTGATTTGGGGCAGGCAAGATGGCTGACTCCTCTGCTTTTATAAACGTCGTGAGTGCAAGCAAACGGATGGACACGTAGCCACCAACTCTAGTAACGGCTTTGTGGGCCTGCATTGATGTGTGGCCCGCTAGACAGTGGGGTTGGTGACTCGGAGCTGTTTCTCATGTGCCGTGCCGTGCGTGCTCTCTGCTCATTTGAAATGGATGGGCCTGCACAGTTCTAGGCAGCATTAAAATGATCGGTTTTACTTAATCTTATATACGAGTTGGGGTGCACGAAAAATGCGTTATTTTTTGCACACAAGACCTTTGGTACAGCAGCCTGAACCGGTGGATCTGAAAACACAGCACACATGGACTTTCAGGTTCAGCTTTGCTTCCTCCGGAGGCTTGGATAGAAGAAAGCGTTTAGCCTACTTTGTCCCCAGTCCGCAGCAAAGCACCGACGATACAGTTGTACTTGCACCGCTTGTAAATACATTAGGTTTGTGTTCAGTTAAGCATCTTTAAACTTTCACAATTAGTATCTTAATTAAATTAATTCAAAAAACATCTTAATTAGATTACATAAGTGACAACATAAGATTAACACTACTTGATTTGTTATAAAAGTACTCTCCAAATATATAATTCTTGTGTTTAAGATAATATACTTTAGCATCCTTTGCTGATACTTGAGAAAAAGAACACACTCACTCACTAAGGCTTGTTTGAGATTGCATTTGGAGATTATGGAGTGATCTAGGGCATTGCTTAGTTGATTAGCATCTTGTGGCGCTAGAGAAGCGTGGTGGCTGCACTTTTCTTGTTACTCTTAGTGGTTGCCACCATCTAGATGGCTTGTGCTGATTGGGATCATTCAGCACCACTTGGTGATTGTGCGAGTGCCCTGGTCGATTGATTTTGAGAGGCTTGGTGCTCATCATCGCAGAGATTGCAAGAACAACCACTAGTGGCTTTTCTCGAGCCTTGTTGGAGTGCCTTATTGACTAGCCGGCTTATACACTAGCACCCACGTTGGGGCCAATCTTGAGGGCTTGCAAGGCTCCACAACGTAGTTGTAGGTTGCCAGCAAGCAACCGAACCTGGGGGTAAATCATTATGTCTCTTGCCCTCGTTGGTTCGACTTATCTGCACTTGAATTTACATTGATAATTTTGTGCTTGTGTAATTGCTTATTTAGCTATTCTAGTCTCGAGTTGTGTAATTCGAGTAGTTCCTTACATTGTGTAGCTTGATTAGTTATTTGGCTTGCCTCGAGCAAATTAAGTGCTCTAGTGGTAGTTGTAATCCTTGGTACAAGAATTGTTTAGGAGATAATGCTTCTTGGGGATAGATGTCTTGAGTCCTCTTGAGTACTTGATCGTCTTATCATCAACTCTTGGGGATAGATGTCTTCACCTTCATGCATTGTGGCCTAACGTTACACTTGATTCTCCAAATCATATACGTTAGCCACACATGTCAGTTTGTCCTGGAATAGCTTCTACATCAACTACTAAGGACTTCTTCACCTTTGTCAATTGTGACCCATCACCCATGAAACCTACCTCTTCTTCAAACACGCGTATTAGTCACACATGCAAGATTGTCATTAACCACCGAAATCATTTACCTAAGGAGTCTAGAAGTTCACAGTAACCAGGGGCGACTCGACGATTGGTTTGAGCGGCGATGAGGCCACATGGCAACTGGATACCGGTGTAGCTATTATTTTATTGGAAGGAGCGCTAGTAGTGTAACCAATGCCTTGAGGATATAGGCAAATAACTAAACCTCATTAAAAAAACATCGTGCCTCAATATTGTTCTCACTAGTGTATTTTCTTCTATGTTGTTTATACTTCTGCATTTTTAGTTAGTGGATTGAATAGAATCTAGATCTAACCGTGCACTCTAACAAACATAGTGTAGCTAGGTTCACAAGTTATTAGTTACAAAGTATCGCTTGTTGACATCAAAATGGAACTTATAGAAGTGGGCGATGGAGTACATACAATTAAATATATACAAAATGATTACAGGTCGTAGAGGGGTTTGTATTCAGCAGAAGAGCCGAGCTCCATAAGCTGTGGACATGAAGCGGTGGTGGAAGCAATTGACGGCTTGTGTAGGAACCTACTAGCAGGGAATATTTGTTTTTAATTTTAACACTTTTTTAAACTAATTCCAAATCTAACACTGTCTGTTTTTTATTTTCAAATCTAATACTTTTGGCCGCGCCTATTGCCATGGCGCGGCGAAATAACTGTGCCGCGCCATGCATGGTGGCGCGGCGAGAAGGCTGACGTGGCGCTGACCGGTGACGTGGTAGGATCTGCCGCGCCACCGATCTTAACGCGGCAGTGATGCGCCATGGAGAATGGCGCGGCGAGGCAAAGCTCAGTAGTCACATCCCTTGGCGAGGCAAAGCTCAGTAGTCACATCCTTGCCGAGGACTGTAGACACATCCCTCCGCGCGGGGCTTTTTTGCTTGCAAGACTCAGTAGTCACATCCCTTGCCCGAGTACTGTAGCCACAGTGGGTAGCTCCGTGCTACACCCTATCAATCCTATGCTGCATGATGTATCTATAATTTGTTTCTCTTTCATCTGTTCCCATGTCGGTAGCTCTACTGATTGAAACTGTTTTTTTCCTAATCTAGTTAATTTCCATGTAACAAATTATTACATCGCATTGTGTTATTTTAATAGGTATCATTAGTTTTTCCCTTTTTATTCCTAATTGTACTATTTGTCGTTTTGACATCGCAGTACTTTTGTTCGAAAGACTCAGCAGTCACATCCCTTGCTAGACTCAGCTCGTCTTATTCAAAAATTTATGATAAATATCACTTCTTTTGTTGTTGCTTGGCTTGCTTTATTAACAAAAGTTTTTTAAGAATGACTTAAATTTGACTATATTTGTTCAAATTTTTTGAATAAGACGAGCGGTCAAACTTAGAGTCAAAAAAGTCAAACGAATTATAATTTGGAACGGATGGACTACAAAACAAGGGAATTTTATGAGTTCACATTTCTCAACACCAAACAAAAATAGCTAATGGTAATTCTAAAATTGCAGCTATAAGAAGGGCATGGCTGGCAAGTGACACTGGTGAAGAAGCATATGACAAACAGTGGTGGAAAGCAAGTTGGAAGCAGGATTGTCCCAACTGCAGTCATATGAAAACTAGTACAGGTAAAAAAAATATAAAAAAGAAATATACATTAATTGAGTTCAATTCAAATATAAAAGGGAAAATTGTTGATTTCTTTCTTGTTAAAGTACAAAGTGAAAAGAAGGGAGCGAGAATTGTGGAAATTTGTGAACAAAGAAAGGGTGGCAGAACAAAGCATATGGCGCACAAAACATTGATAGGTAACAAACAGTTGCTGTGATAGTGAAAGCCAATTTATTAAAATCGAGTTAGCTTACAAATTTTTTAAATGTTTGCAGCTGAGACCAAAGTTGCTGTCTGTGGGTAACGAAATCTATTAGCTAGCAAAAAAGTACTGCGATGTCAAAACGACAAAGGAAAAGTAGTACAATTAGGAATAAAAAGGGAAAAACTAATTATACCTATTAAAATAACACAATGCGATGTAATAATTTGTTACATAGAAATTAACTAGATTAGGACAAAAAAAAAACAGTTTCAACCAGTAGAGCTACCGATGTGGGAACAGATGAAAGATAAACAAATTATAAGTACATCATGCAGCATAGGATTGCTAGGGTGCAGCACAGAGCTACCCACTGTGGCTACAGTGCTCGAGCAAGGGATGTAACTACTGAGTCTTGCGAGCAAAAAAAAGCCCCGCACGGAGGGATGTGGCTACAGTGCTATGGCAAGGGATGTGACTACTGAGCTTTGCCTCGCCGCACCATTCTCCATGGCGCGTCACTGCCGCGCCAAGATCGGTGGCGTGACAGACCCTGCCACGTCACCGGTCAGCCTCTCATCGCCATTGCCACGTCAGCCCTCTCGCCGCGCCACCATGCATGGCGCGGCATTGTGGCATTTCGCCGCGCCATAGCAATAGGCGCGGCCAAAAGTGTTAGATTTGAAAATAAAAAACAGACAGTGTTAGATTTAGAATTAGTTTAAAAAAAGTGTTAAAATTAAAAAAAAAATTCCTAGCAGGCCCGTAGCAATGGCCCTGTATGCAGATTCTGATGGATGGAAGCCATCCCATGATCCATACTTTTCTGGGTTATCGCACAGCTTATATTCTCCGAATCCACATTTTGTAGTTGGGGACACACCATAGGGTCCTTCTCCACCACAGCAAGCCACTAGGGGATGTTCGATCCCTGAACAACAGTTATGGCACACATAAAAAAACAGTTAGAGCAGCATTAACTATATCGCCAAGAAGAGTTTTTTTTAAACCCTTTTATACTATTCATAGAATACATTTATACTATTGTGGCAATAGGAACATCCAAGAAAAAGGAAGGAAAGAATAATGCTAAGTGGTCTAAACTGCCAGTTCTGCATGACGTTATACAATGCTAATTATGTGCTTACTATATGTAATTTGATACTACATGGTATTAGGACTCCACAAGAAATATAATCAAACAAACTCCCATTTGCTAGTCAGCTAAATGCATCAAACACATTGCTCAAAATTGAAGTAAACCAAGAGCGAAAATGAATCTAAAATACAAGTAAAGCATGGTGACTAACAGTAACCAAAGGCCTACTTAACCTTGTGAGCCTTGGTTTCCTAAATAAATAGTTTCTGAAAGCTTGATGGCATGAATTGTAGTCTGTCAAACAATCTTCAGATAAGTAGAGATTAAATTTCATAGTAGAAAATAAAGGAAAATATCTGATCCTACCATATTGTTCAGGGGAAAGGAAAATCTCCATAGCAGCTCCATAGTAATCCGAATAGATGATGGTTACTCCAGGATGGAGCTTGCGAAGATTCTTAAGCTCCTCAACAAGAAGCTTGTTGTGGTACTGTGAGAACTCGTTCATCCACCTAAGACAACCTGTCTGTGGTTCATAATCCTCTTCCTTATCACTCTTGAATATCATCAGATAGTCTGGGACACATCCAATAGGGAGGTTTCCTGGAACCACAAGATTCTTGGCTCCTAGCCGAATCAATTCCTGCAAACTCAATTCATTATAATATGCTATCTATATATAATGTTAGCAGCTACAACACCTACAACAAAAACTAATGCTAACGCTGATTGTAGAAGAAATTTTCGCAACAACACTCGGAGTGGGTGTGAATTTTCTCCAAGGGAACTCCAGAAAGAAGAGGAAAGTTGTAGTCATTGCCCCCGATTTCTCCAACCAAGAGAGAGATTGGTTCATCATATCAGAGCAACCTGTGCGACAAACATGATTCCGAATCAGCATATAGAGATTACATCATACAAAAGGTGATGAAATTACTGCATTCCACGTTTTGATAAAACTAAGGCATTCCATAGCAGTTGGAGCTGGGGATAAAAACAGGACGGGGAAATCCCGAACTGACCGACACCATTTATCATATTTACCGGTCATTTACCGTACTTTCAGTAAAATATGGAAACAGGAAAAAAAAAGGATAATCAGGAGAAAGGTTTTCCTGACCGTATTCTCTGTTCCTGTTTTTATATAGGGGAAAGTTCCTGTTTTTTATCCAGGAAAGTTCCCGTTTTTCAGGCTCAAGCGCCAAACCCCATATTATTAAAATTTAATATTTATCAGCTCAGTCGAAACATCAACCTTACTGGAGTCCTGGGCACCAGTACTTGTTCCCTTAGCAAGGTGGGATGAATGCTTTGCCTAGCGGAGTGCAGACTGCCGAGTGCTAGCTGTTGCGCTACTAGTGCTTTTTTTTTCGGGTCAAGCGGCAGGAAACTCCCACAGATGGCTTGGCCCAAGTTCATTCACAATCCTGGGAGTTTGCTCCCAAAAAAGTGTGTGCCCCATGTTCGTTCACAGCAGATAGTTTGGCCAGTCTTTGCATTTCTTTCCCTTTTCATGTTCTTTTTTTACAGCTAATTATTCTTTTCCCAAAGTAGATCATGATAATTAAAAGAAACTGCTAGCTTACTTTTTCTATGGAAATGTGCATTGATAAGCTCACCATACGTCATGATTTGTGAACTTATATGATCTTATATAGTTTGCTTGTGCCACCTAAATCTTGAAGTCATGGACTCATGGTCATGTAGTTTAGCGTCCCTGATTTGAATTATCGGTTCCCGACCGAATTATTCTGTTTCTGATTTCCCGACATAACTGTTTCTGTTTTCTTAGCCAGTGTTTCCAATCATGTTTCCATTTTCGGTACAAATATGAAATCAAAAGTGGTTAAAGGCTTTTCACAACTGCTCATCCCTAGTTGGAGTGTTCACAAGCTCAAAACAATTGACTGTATATGGTTTCGAACAAGTCAGATTGATCATACAACATGTTTTGAAGCACAGCAACGGACTTCTTGACCACAACACGCTATGTCAAGAGGAAGTAAAAGCACTTGCTTGAACAGTTCTTTCTCACTAATTATTCTATATCTATTCCAAACAAGTGAAATTATGAGCTCAACTAGTTATACATGCATACAGTTGATTTCTGGTCTTGTAGCATGACAGTGCTTGTAGAGATTTAACAGTTCATTTCACAATTCTGACCATAAACTTGCCTACTGGAAGAACACTAATATTGGTGATCGTTCGGGTACCATAAATTAAAATTAGAAAGAAAAAAAAAGACAGCAAAATGTTCTGCATGTCTTCTGCTGAAATCGCCAATAGAGTGACTGATATGAATTGGCCAGCTATTTGTGTTGGTTGAGCTGATACTATCAAAAAAAAAAAGGACAAACCCAGTACTAGAGGCTCCCACATGAGTGGGGTCTGGGGAAGGTGAGACAGCTACCAGGCCTGCCCTTCGAGCTGATACTATCAATCATTGATTTTTTTTTTTGAAAGAGCTGGCAGGAGCTCTGCTAAGCATATATTTAATACAGTAGGTGACTTATATAACTACAAAACATAAATGAAAAATGACAGATTTGGTTTGGAAGCAGACTTTTCAGTTTTTATGTTTTTCATATAAACCAAGTAGCGAAGATGAACTTCCACATGTGTTTAGACTCCCATGGTCCCACCCTTGTTCCAAACATCAAGTGCACCACACAACATCTTTCCGCTTCCATCATCCCTACCCTGCACAGTATCTTCTAGAAATTGCTTTCTACTTTCCGTTTTAAAAAAGAAAAGAAAAGAAATTGCTTTTCTATTCCAACTTGCTAGTACTTTCCTCACCTACCAGGGTACCAGTACGATTTGCTTGGATCCCTTGCCTGCCCTCGCCTTGCCTATCTGGGCAAGAAGCTGGAACAGTCAACGTGTTTGGATCCATTGTCGGCTGCCTCGGTGCCGTGAAAGCAAGCGTTTCCTTCGATAAGATCGGGCGGACCGATTCGGCTCCCTTGCGCCGGCAAAGCGGCAAGGCTTGCTCGGTCGTGTGAACCCGTCAACAGGCCCGGCCCTGGGGGCGGGCGAGTGGGGCGGTCGCCCCGGGCCCCTAATCCGTCAGGGCCCCCGAGCACGTTTGTCTTCTCCCCTTCTCGCGCGCGCTCCCATCTAGTTTCTTCTCGCCAACTCTAGCCTCGTCGTCGCGTCGGCAAGCTTGTCCCCAGTGGCCGCTGCGGACTCCGACTCCCAGCCCTCAGCTCGTTCTTGGAGTCAACGGCCTTGCAGAGGTGGTTGTTCTCGGCAGCAAAATTCGCAACCTTCTTGTTCGCATCCTTCTTGCAGAGAGTCAACAGCCTTGCTAAAGCTCGTCCACTTTCTTCTTCTCGGAGGATATCCCGTTGGCCGCCTCGAGGCCCTTGACGAAGATCTGCTCCCGCTCTTATCTGACAATGACCAGCCGCTCCCATGCAACCATTCGGCTAGCTTGATGGTTACTTCTCCAGATTATCTCTTGAAAATAATCACCGAGTAATAAGCATTGTTAGCTCAGCCTGATGCGTTGCTCGTATGTATGAACCCCCAACAACTGTACGTCTGTACCAGTTTGGTTCTCACGTTTTGCCAAGCTTTTTGTGAAGGAGAAATAAAAACGTGTGTGTTCTGAAGCAACCGTACTAGTTGATGTGTCTCATTTCGAAGAAAATTAAAAAAAAATCTGTTAACCAGTATGTGACAAGATAATCCTAATAGGAAGGCCTTACGGTAGATAATAATTTAGACATCGGTGAGGTATGTGACAACATATTTTTTTGTTTTTGGAAAGTGTACGGTGCAAGGAGAATAGGTAATGCATGTTAGGTAACTACTCTTAGCTTAGTATCCAAACTAATACGAGTGATAACAGATGTAAGGGACCTCATTTTTTAGTCTTGCCCTGGGCCCCCAAAATCTCAGGGCCGGCCCTGCCCGTCAAATGTGGGGAAGCATGGAATCGGAGGAGACGAGGAGGTGAAACAGGACATACATACCGGCGAGGTTGCCGGGGCAGAGAAGGTCGAGCAGGTCGCGAAACCACTTCATCTCCATGTCGAGGCCCACTTGATTGCCCATGTTGTCGAAACCCCGTGCACCGATTTCATCGGGGCTGAGCGCCGTGGCGCCGCCCACGGCGAAGTTGGCCCCGCACGCGAAGTCCTCCGCGCTCCGTCCGCTGAGATACAGTCGCACGAGCGGCCCGAGCGGGAGGCCCAGCGTGTCCGCTGCGACCACGCGAATCCCAAATCTCAAATCAGTACTGCCACGCAGCGCAGCCTAATTGATCAATCGGTCGATCGATTGTTTGGTACTAGCTCCGCTCCGTAGTGTAGGTAGGTAGCTTACCGATGAAGTCGACCACGATGCATCCATTGGAGGCGCGCCCGGTGGCGCGGTGGAAGAAGGTCTCGCCGTAGGGGCGTAGGGTGGCAGGAGCGCGGCCGCGCCAGAGTCGTTGCCGTAGACGAACGGGTAGTTGCCGGTGTCCGCCAGCGAGTCCCCGAAGCTGAACACGCGCGGATAGCAACCCGCCGCTGGCGCCACTGCATCCAATAGTAGCACCACCACCACAACCGCCGCCGGCAAGAGGAGCCCTCGTCCTATCGCGGAGGCTGAGGAAGGCATGGCGAATCAGCTCGGGGAGACGGGCACGCCGTCGTAGAGGCCCAACAAGTATCGAGGCACAAGGCCTCAGCGTCACTAAACCAATATTCAGCAGGTTCGCTAGTCGTAAACGATCGTAAATTTTCGGTCGGAATAGTGTTTTTCTCTCACATCAAACCAGCCAGCAGTAAATAATTCACGATCGTTTACGGCCTCCCGATCAGGCTGATAAACATCAGCGTCTGACTTGGCGATTGATAAGCCTCACCAACTGCTAGATCAATTTCTACGGGTCATTTTCTTGACTTTCTTCAAAAAGAATTTATAGGGACCAATCCCACTGATAGCAACAGAAGCTAATTTTGTAAGGAAAAAAAAGAAAAACAAAGAAAAGAAAAAACAAAGGTACTCACCATTTTCGATGATAGAAGGCCCATGGTTTAGGAGCTGTGGGTTCAGTCTCTAGGCTTGCTCTCAGCCTTATTCCAATTTCCACGGAGGAAGTCTGATACACACACTAGCACTAGCACTAGCGATTAGCGTGCAGGTTGGCGAGATAGTGGTAGGATGAAAACAGATAGAAATGGGCGGGAACACCCTCTTCAGCTTTCATCCCTCGAATGGACTCTTCCAGTTTTCCCTCCATGTTTATCTGCTGGCTTTGAGCTGCTGCTGCATATCTGCACTCGTTGAAACTTGAGCCCGCTCGAGCCGAAGAGTAACTGAGTTTTTAATCCAGCCCTACCCATTGAGTAGATTTTTTTTCCATCGCTGGTCGCAGGTTGCAAATTGCAATGCCAAATTGCTAATACACACACAAGACAGCACCGACGATTAAAAGGCAGAAAGCGCATAAACGACTGGTTCAGTTCAAAACTTGACACAAGCTATGTTGCCTGCTGGAATAAATCCCTCGTGCAAGTTATGTCCTGCCTGGCAATAAAAGCCACTAGGTTTTTTTTATTATAATAGAGCTCAAATCCTTCCACTCCCTCACAAAAGGGGCAGAAAAGGGTAGAATGAAATCAGAACATCCGGTAACTACAGGTTTCAATTGGTGCTATAATCTGCAAAATGGCCTTGTCTAGTTCTCATTTGCAAACTTCATACCCTTCTCAATTGAAGACTTGAGCTCGCTCTTGAGCTTCTCCAACCCTTCTTTCTCAAAGTCCGATAGCTCGCCCAACCCAAGCACTTCCTCAACTCCATTCTTCCCAAGCCTCACCTGTAACATCAAAAGGCTCAACGTTTTGAATCTATGGCTCAAGTTTAAGATTTCTACAGCACAAATGTATCACAGTGACTACAAGGTAAAAGTCCCAAAAGTACACTACCAAGTACCAACAAGGAAAATACTGTCTCTGGTTTGAATACTTGTTCACAACATGGCATAGTCTGTACTCTCTAGTGACTAACTTTGACCACTACATTTTATACAAAGATTTACCATCTCACATGGCATTATAAAATCTAATAAATTTGTGATATTATGAAAGTATGCTTCAAGATAAAACTACACGTACGATTTTTCAAGTCGTATTTTTTACCAGAGAAAGCATATAATGATCCAGAGACTTCCAAAAAAATGTTGTTGCATGCACAATTTTGTGCACCATGTAGCTATAATGCGAAAGGAAAATTGATGCCATACTGATAGGGTGAAGACTTGGTACAAATCACAAGTGGTATGGTACTTGCGATGGTGTCATAGCACGTTAGCACAAGACACCAAATGTACACTCCATGCAAATGCATCCAGTGTGTGAAAACATATCCAAGGCCACTATCGCCACAAATATCACTCCATGTACCAAAAAGTCAAAAGGTTTAACCACACGATCAATCAAAAATAAAACAGGAAATAACATATTCAATTTCAGAAAAAGATAAAATAAAAGGACACCTGTATTGCATTTTTGCCTCAAAAATGTACCTTTCCTCAACTAGGCTCAACTAGGAAAGATGCATAGCTAGATCAAATTCATCCTTAAATGTTTGCTTTTAGTAAACAAACAAAAAAGTAGGATTCAACCATGCAACTGAACAAGCCAACAAAAAGGAAAAGATGAACTAGGATAACCATCTGCCATTAAGGAAAAAAGTGGCACAATCCAGCACATAATTGATGAGATGATACGGTGTATCATAACTGCAACCACAAAGAAGTAAATATGCATGTACCTTGGACGCAAAGAATGGAAGCTCTGTTACAGTTGATTGAACAAAAGAGCACTCAATGATATCCGGAACTCCATTGAGACCCTTCAAGCATGCATCTGCAAAAACAGCACCAGCATACCTGCAACGGTATGAAAATATTGATTAGTAAAACAGATAAAAGCAAAAAAAAAATAGCAAGACAGTAGTAAGAAATGTGCAGACTGCATAGTTTTTTTTCCATCATTTTCTGACTTACGCCATGGACAAGGTTGCAGAGCCCTTCCCAGCCTTTGCCTCGACAACTTCAGTCCCACCATCCTGTGTCCTCTTGGTGAGAGCCTTGATGTCTTCATCAGACAATGAGTTGGTTGCAGGGGTGGCCTATTTCAAAGGAAAACCTCCTCGAATCAGGTTCTTAAAGTTACAAGTTGAAAAATAAAAAGCACACTGTTTAACCATGGCATCAATATCATGGTCCACAATGGACAAAAGAAAGTTAGCCAGAGGTAAGCTGTATTCGTATTCCTATTCATACTAAAGCAAGTAAGGTATGACGGCTTCTATCAACAAATATTATCAACTAAAAGTAAGAATATATACTCCATATGTTAAGTGTTATTTGATGTTCCTGAATCCGGACAGCCGGATATAGCTAACAGCAAGTGAGTTTGGCTGTCCAACGTCAAGTAATTCCAGCAAGAGATAGTAATATGTTTGCATTTGATGCATAATAAACCTAGATGTTACTCTCACTAAGGTAAATGAACATATTTTTTCTATCTCGGCATGATAAGCATACAAGATATAATAAAATGTTACCGAATAATGGATGTGGATGGAAAAAAAAAGAACATGCTGCTCATTTCAGATCTCATTTATAATTTCTAACTGAGGATTAATACTATGCAAGGCATGAAAAGGTTGATTTTAAGAAAAAGTATCAAAGCCAATTACTTGTGAGAACAATGGCAGGATGGTGATACCCGCATGACCGCCAACAACAGGGACATTCACATCTGTGGGGGGAAATAGAGGAATAGAGAGAGAAAATTGTTAAAACCATACTTCTTTATTTCCACAATTTTTAAGTAAACCTTCAATTATTACCGGTTACTGGTAAATTAGCCTTCCCAGCATAGAAAGTCTTAGCACGAACAACATCAAGGGTGGTCACGCCAAACAACTTCTTCTCGTCATATGTCCCAGCCTTCTTGAAAACCTCAGCAGCAATTGGTACAGTAGAATTCACAGGGTTGCTGATCATGTTGACAAGGGCCTACATAGGGAAAAAACAGACACCATAAGATGTGTGACAGTGTGAGTCAAAATTGCACTGAAACGTGGCAGAGTATTGTCAACACATCATTCACCATAATTGTAAATAGGTAATACTCTTGAAGAAACTGTGTAATTTTATATTAATAGAGATGATTCTGGAGGCACAAAATACTCAATGATTTAAAATAGATATTGGAAACTACATGGTTCCACCACATGGTACAGCAAATGCTGAGACAAATTGATGAGTACATAAATGAAAATTTGGAACAACCTTCACAAAAATGTTCCATAGCACAATAAAATACTAAAAAATTTTTAGATAAAATGGCAATTTTAATGGATAATAGCATAACCATTAACCAAACGATGGTAACACTCTACCTCAGACTAATATATACTAGAGTGGAATAAGGAAAGTGTCCTCTCAAGATCCCATAACGAATTCTGATCTACTTTTCCATTTGTACAGCTGAATGTAATGCCCAAATCTCGAACAATCAGTAGAGGTATCTGTAGTGAAACTGCACCAGCGGGATCCAGAGCAATTAATCAAGTCAGACACAGAACTACCGTAAGGACCTTACATTGGGGCAGTACTTGGCGATGGCGGCGCTGAGGTTCTTAACGATGCCAGCGTTGATATTGAAGAGGTCGTCCCTGGTCATGCCAGGCTTCCTCGGCACGCCAGCCGGGATGATTACCACGTCGGAGCCCTCTAGCGCTTCCCCAAGCTGTTCATCTCCCATGAAGCCCTTCACCTGCGCAAACCCCAAAACACAAGCTCTGTCAGTACTACACAGACCCCGCTGAATCGGGTAGCAGAGCGCGTGACGAGGAGAGCGATAGTACCAGGGCGGGGGAGTTGATGTGGGAGACGTCGGCCGCGACACCTGGGGTGCCGGCAATATCGTAGAGCGAGAGCGACGAGACGAGTGGGTTGAGCTTCATGAGCAGCGACAGCGGCTGCCCGATGCCCCCCGCCGCGCCGAGGATGGCCACCTTCCGCTCAGGCTGCCCGGATGCTGAGGAGTAGCTCCGGCGGCGGAGGAGCTGGGACGTAGATCTCATCAGCGACGGCCTCATTGTGGAGTTGGGGCTTGGGTTCTGCGGCGGGGCTTGAGATCTGGGATCGGAGGACGAAGGCGAAAGGGGGACCGGAATTGCTCGGTGTGGGATGGGATGGAATCGAAGAGGGATTTGGGGCCAGCTTGGGTACCAAAACTTTTTTTATTTATATAGACAGAAAAACTAAATAGAGCAGTTTAGTAGTCCTCCGTCTCTAAATATATGTTGTTTTCGCTTTTCCGAGAAACAACTTTGACTAAATATATATAAAAAAATATTAATATTTATGATATATAATTAATATCATTAAAAATCTTTAAATCTAGTTTTTTTAATAAATTTATTTAGAGATATAAATGTTACACGTATTTTTTATAAATTGAGTCAAACTTACGGCACGTGTACCAACGACGACAATTATTTAGGGACGAAGATAGTACTCCTTTGATTTTAAATTATAAGATGTTTTGTCTTTTTAATACATGATTTTTTTTTCTTTGAGAGTAGCTCACAAGCATTATAATCTTTGCTTTGTTAGCCCCTCGGAGCATCGCTGCCGTCGCTCTCCGCTCCACCACCGTCGGTCCCCCTCCCTCCTCTCTCCGACATATCGTCGGGGACGGAGGGAGTGGGGATCCATCATTTTTAATAAGATTCTTCAGTAGATCGAGTCCTTAGGGTTATGGTCTCATCATACTAATTTTCTTGATTTTGGGGATTTATCTCCTTCACCTCTCCGGCAACAGCAAGAGAGCAGGGTGGAATCGTTTTCTCCGTGACGGCTCAGTTGAAGATGGGGCGACAACTACAGCATGAACATCTTCACCGGTGTGACGATATGGAGACTTTTATTTCCGAACGACGACATCAAGGCGGAGATGATGTTGCCGCTATGGAATAATTTTCTCCGATCTCTTCTCCGTTTTATCGTGGTTAGATCTGGCCACGATGAAGGACTAGGGAGAATAAATTTTAGATTAGTCTTCCTTATTCTTCGATGACAGAAAGAAGAGGAAGAAAGACACCAGAAAGAAGAAGTTTCTTAACTCAAAGCGTCGTACAAGTTTGGTTTTAAGATCTAGAGCTATTCACAGTGTGGGTACAATTTAGATAAAAATAAGTTTTTTAGATATTTGTATAATCCAGAGTGTTTGTAACGTGTTCATGTACCCGGCTATTATCTAATATAATTCTTTTTTTCATCTAAAAAATCTTAGGGTTATGGGTCTAATACGGACTACAATTCATATACCATTTTTGATATCACGTATGATCCATTTGTATATGGTATTCCTTCTTTTTCTGATATATGTAACATTCATTTGTATATGGTGCGTGGATTTGTTTTTCTTTCCTAAAAGAGTTTTGGTCTAATTTTTTTTTATTCCTCGAAAATATATAAAAGTAAGAGTATTTGGCATGGCTTCTCTTGGGAGACTCTTTCAGAGGAGCCAGAGCCGTTCCAAAACGGCTCAAGCTCCTCTGCTTTTTACTGAAAAATAGCTTCTCCAGAAAAATGTTTTGAGCAGGGCTCCTCCGCAAGAGCCAGAGCCGGAACTAGGAGAAGCCCTACCAAACATACCCTAAGAAGAAGGAAACATTGATTTCATAGCACAAAAAGAACGTGAGATTCGAAAAATACCATCAAAAGTTCATCGCATCGTAAAATATTATTGAAAGTGAGTATATGTTCTGTAATATAGCACTCTGTTGCTTTCGATGTTAACGTGGCATCCATCTGAGGCCTCCGCTTCACTAAAAACGAGCAATTTTATTGCGATTATACAGCACAACGCAGACACTTACGACCAACGCACACGCCCTATGAACGCACGCATGCAAATCACGTTGTTAAATCAATATTAGCTCCCAAAGGGGTTGAACCAAGGACTTACGGTGCTACTGAGGCACTTATAATCACTAGGCTAAATACATTTTTGTAAAAAAAAAAAGCAATTGTTGGCATGATCAACCTGAGCAGGCCTGCAGTGGTAGAGCAAGGATAACCTGTACGCCGGGTTGCTTCCTCCTTATACAGATGCTTCCTACTGTTACTACACTTTCTTTCTTATTATTTTTCTGTTGGAGCTTTTCTTGACTAGCAATCTAACTTGTAAATTCCATTTCGGAGACCATTACGTTTTGCCTATTGAAATGAAACATTCTGGTACTGGCCCATACCGGCATACCATTCGGGACTTTATAATAATAATAATAATAATATATGAATATACTTATACATAACTATGCATATAATATATACCGACTTAACTTATGACGTAATTACCATTTTTACCAAACTAGCATATCATTCAGCAAGTTCATAAGACATTATTTCAAAGTTCAAGCTCTAAAATTCATACATGGAAAAATAAAATACATGCAGCCACGCCCGGTATTGGCAGGTATTGCCCCGGTATTGACCGGTATTTGACCCGGTACGGGATTACGGCTCTTCTATGCCGATCTAGGTGCCGGTATGAGGCATTTCGGCCATTCTGGCCGGTACCGAAATAGAATTTACAACTATGCTAGCAATACAATGTTCTAAATAGCGGGATTTAGCGGCATCTTTAGCGGGCTATAGTGTTTGGGGAGGTCAGACGCTAAGCTATGCCACATCTGGCGCTATAGGATTTTTTTTTGCTATTAGCGGCTAATAACGCGCTATTGTCACTAAATGGATGTTCGTTTGGCGCTGCTATCAGACAAGTTCCTGCGTGGGTTTTCATTTTCCTCGGCCCAAATCCGCGCAGGCCCAAATCACCACATACCCATCGATTGGAAGCTCTTACATGCAGTACTCTAGCCTTGTCGTTCTTCTCCCAGCTTGCGTGGAGTGCCGGTGGTGGTGTTGGATGTTGTTGCTGCTGTGACCGGCAAGGGGTGCCGAGAGTTGCACAATTCATGTTGTGTCGGAAGTTGCACAATCAACTTTAACTGTGACCAAATGCACAATTCACGTTGTGGATGATGATGACCCTGCTCATTGTTATCTACGTGGAGTTTTACATTTTTTATGGGGTAACAATGAGTGTTGTCTGCGTTGGTCGTGCCCTAAATAGCTAGGCAAAGGTAAGATGTATTGCTGTTCCTAACAAGAGCTACAAAGTTCCTCTGCCACTTGCATTTGTAGATCCCTTCCTAGAAATAACATGCTATGAGCATCAATCTCAAGTTCAAATCTGCAAAACATTTTAAGATGAAATGATGATAAGAGACATTTCATAAAACAAAGTCAACATTCTATTGCATTGAACAAATATTACACTGACCAGTTCCTACTGCAAAGATTGATCAAACAAACAAATGGCAAGGAAGCAACAATGAATTGGGTTGCTTCATATAACACTATAAGAATCAGCTAAACTTCAATGAAATAGCCCCTATGTTACTACAATCCTACATTAAGAATCATCTACTAGCAATCTAATAACTAAACAAAATATTGATAATGACCAACAGATTTTGCTCTAGGACCCATACATCTGAAAAGATTAACTCCAAAGGATAAGAAGAAATACTATTGGAAGGATAAGGGAGCTTATGGCTCTTAGCCTGTTGGTAGGCATCGCACACAACAAGACTAGACTCATTACTGAACAAACTATTGTCTTTAACAACACGATCAACAATGGTAGATGAAGGATGGCCCAAACGATGATGCCACCGTGAGATGAATGGTTCGACAATATGATGACTTCACAGACAGGAGATGCACGAGAAAGGATAAAGTCCATTTTAACATCTACCTTAGGAAGAAGATTCTTGGTGTGCATGTCCTTAACACAAAAGAAAGTAGGATAAAAATCAAGAAAACCATTATTATTTGTAATGAACTCCTTACCAGAAACAAGATTTATTTGGGCAGTAAGAACATGAATATATTATCAAAAGAAAAATCATGATGTGGGGTATGGATAATAGATTTACCATTGTGGCTTATTGAAAGCCCTAAGTTTGGTTTTGGTAATTGAATAACAACTAGCTAGTGGACTGATGCTTTCAATTAAGTTGGGATTGATGTAGGGTCCACATCAAGATGGTGAGCAAGGTTTGGAGATGAATGAGAAGATGACCATGACATATGGAGCAAGCTCACACTTAGAAGAAGAGGAGATGAAAGCAAACCCAAAGGCAAAGGTATATGCTAGGGTTTTTAATTCCATCGGTTGAGACACAATAGAGTACGTGATTAGGTTTAGGATAGGCAATCATACTATGAAGAGGGGAACTCTAATGCAAAATAGTTATATAGTGCCACTATGTTTGAATCAACTTTGCATATGCATTGGACCTAGCAGCATGGTGAGATTCAAGTGAAAAATGTTTTGGAAAAGCTAACTGAGTGTCTAAGGTGAATGTATTCATGTTGGAATGCATTGGAGTTAGCAAATTTGAAGCGTTTGCGATGTTTGTGACTTAGTGTAGATTTTTTTGTGCACTCATCAAAAAGGTCTAGTGCCCCCTAGCTAGGGGAGTCATCGAAGATAGGTGCCTTGTGCTGACTTGACTGTGGGTTGGGGTACTCACCGGAAATTTTTAGAGAGCACCGAAGAATACGTTGACAAATTAAGCATATGTACAGGAGTTTTAAAGTGGTCACTAGAAGTTCGGTGGGTGGTCACCATAGATTTATGCTAACCCCCTAGACCTGGAGCCTTATAGAAAAGTGTTGGTAATCCGTCCAGCCTTGGAGACTTTAGGTTCCCGATTCCCTTCAATACCTCCACCACCTCCTCCCTTGTAAAATCCTTCACTAAAGTCCCATTCGTTTCTAGTGTCACTTGGCCGCAACGTAATCTAGTATCCGATGTGTATCTTGGTCACCAAAAGACTTGAGAAGCTCAAAAAATAGTTAGTGATGAGGTTCTTGTTCTCCCCTTCCTCCTCTGCCCAACCCCCATTCTCCTTCCTAATCTTCCCTATTCTGTTTGTCGGGTTCATAAACCCGGGGTCCCCAATGGGCCTACTTCTCAAGCGAAAACTCGGCTCAGCAGACAGCATAGCGACAATGC